TGGTAGTGAAGATTTGGTAACTTTTGGTAACTTTTCTTAAGAGATTTTGGTAGAAAAAAATGTTGGCGAGTGGCAACCATGACGTACACCTGCTAATGCCCGTTCCTCTTCGACATCCATTGGTAGTAGTGGTCTCCCATCATCACCTTTCACAGGACCCATTGCAGGACTCCTTCCTTTACAATAAGAGTTATGGACTCTTATAAAAACGCGATAGTCCGGATGACGTCCGTTGGGATACCTTAAACAACGATAACTTTTTTTATTATGTACTTATTTCAAATGGCGCCTAAATCAAAGTGAAACTTAAAGGTAAATTTTTTATTATTATATATATTATTCTCTCGGTATAATTCGGCAGCAGCGTTGGCGTTACCTTGGCATTCCCCGTAAATGAAATGTATATTTGCATATTCATCTGGTGTATATGAACTCGACATTTCCCCAATCAATAATCCGTTGGATCACTAATAACACCAATATCAAACAAATAAAAATCACATTGCAAAACTAATCCAGTAGTACCGCAAACATTTATGAACAAACCGAAAACGCGTCGCAAAAAGTCGGGAAAACATCAAATGACTAAACCGCCAAAGCCAATGTGCTTCTGGGCAGGTAGCTGTTTTAAAGTCAACAACTGTAACACACGTCCCTAACGGCTGTTTTACAGCATGTGATTAAAAGCTAGATAAGTAATAAGCATCCTTTTAGATTCAAATCGTAATAACAACAGCAGAAAAACTTAAAGGTTATAACTTTTATATCATTTTGGAATCCCCATAAAACACGTAAGTTTTTAAGATTATTTTCGCAACTTGTGTAGTACAAATTTTTTTCACCACGTTTCGTCAAATGTAAAGGTAAAAACTTATTCGGGATCAAAATTTTGTATTGGAGTTAATTTTTAAACATTTTAAACGTAATTACTGAAAAAGTGTTATACTTTGTCGATAGCGGAATAAGTTTAGATAAGAATAAAAAAGATGCAACTTCTAAAAGTTTTTATTTGTAGAAACGGCATGGAAAAAATCTACCGAAGGTACAGATTTTTCAAAAATATAAAAAAGTCAAGAAATCTGGAAAACCATGACACGCTTTATAAGTTTTTATCTTTTTATTTGGTAGACCATATTGTCGCGCACTGGCGGTTAAAGGGTTATCCATGACTTCCTGGACACCCTGTATATATTTGAATTAAAAAAAAAAACAAGGTAAAAGGCAAATTCAACTAAAAACGACAAATATCGTTTTTGTTGCATTTGCGTGCAAATTTTTTATCCGGACTCCGATCATTGCCCACGGAAACACAGCAAATATAAGACCATATATTAGAGATTTTAAAATAAAATCGGTGTTTCCAAAAACTGTTTTTTTTTTATTTGGTTAATGATCTTTTTCAGTCTATTTTTTTAAGTTAGGTGTTAATCGTTTTTTTGCTTTTAAAGCGAAACCCGAAATTTCGGTTTTTACGTTCCTCAGCAATGGATAATTATTTTGCAATTCGTCGAGATAAGAATAAAATTTTACCGCGTACCACAAACTTCAAATAGACTACTCAATTTTTATTTGCTGATCTTGTAGCTAAGCATAATCGAAGAATAAAATTTTACGGCGTACCACAAACTTCAAATTAACCACTCAATTTTTGTATGCTGTTCTAGTAGCATAATCGAAAACATTGAAAAAAAAATATTGAAAAACATTGGATTTATATACATATCGCTCATTTACTTCAATAGTGTCATAATCCAAAAAATACAAATTTTGAAGTGATTATGCGGAAATTACCGCTACCTTTTCTTCTACGCTGTGTAAAAATTTCATAGCTGTATCGATTACCGGTATCTCACTAGAACAAAATATGCATTCATTTTTACTATGGGAGTATATGTAAATTCAGAACTTTAAAGCCGGTTTTCTCGAGTTTTGCTTTTTTGAATTATGACACTATTGAAGTAAATGACCAACATGTATTTATTTATAATTTAAAAAAGCCTTTTTTGTGAAATGAAGTTTGTTCTTGTATAAACATGTAAAACGTTTTATTATATTCCGTATATTTGGAAATGAAGTTGTTATATCAAATTTAAAAAAATTATTGTCTTAACTAATTTGCGTTGCACAGCAGTAAGTAATAAGTGTAAGCGAAAATTAAATTTAGTTTGATATCGATGTTTTTTGGTTTTTTTGCAGTGTTTTTCATAACTCGGGTTTTTTTCCGTAAACTCAAAAGATCAGGGGGCCAATTCTGGTTCTATGAAACTGTGAAGTGAAAATGAAAAATTCAATGTCAGTGAAAATTTAATTTTTTCACTTTATCGTTTCGTTATATCATTTTAAGCGACTCTTGATCATTAAAGGCTAGAGCAATATGATAAATAGACATTGAAATTTTATGAAATTGTGAATTTTTGAAAGGGGAAAGGTGTGTAAGAAACAAAAACAATATGAACAAATCATATTAACTTTACTAAAAGGTCTGAAATCACGAAAACCCATGCATGCAAATGGCAGAATTGAACGTTGTTGCAAGTTCACATGAGAAATCTCCTTACGACGTGATTGGAGGAAATTTTAAGAGACTAGCAGCTAGAGCAAGTCTTCAACTCCTGATGTTACAACAAATTCGTACACCCGAAGCCCTCTACCAATGGGGTGCTGTATGTTTCCAATGGGATGCCTGTAAAAAATAACCGCAACTAACTTTTCAGTGGACTTTATTTCGACTATGACTACGTGAAAATTATTTTAATCCTATTTTAAGCTAGTTTAAAAGGTTAAATAACATCAAGTTAGGGAACTTCATGTCCTTGTTTAACGAATTTTAAATCAATAGATAATTTTTTTCTTTTTTAGTTCTTATTGTTATAAAAGCGTGTTGTTGGTTTTATTTTTACTATAGCTTTATTACTCATTAGGTTTGTTTTTAGGAAAGGTGTGCGTTTCCTTTTTCTTGTTTTAATAAAAGGACAAACCTTGAAGCTATCGTTGGAGGTCTAATATTCTTTTGCAATAAGTGGTGTTGATGTTGATGTTGTTGATTAATAATAGAATTATTAACGAAAACCAACAAAACCAACAACCACATGATCAAGTTTAAATAGCACTGGAACAGCTGCGCTTGATTGTAGTTGGCTTAACGAAATGAAATAGTGGAAAAAAGCAACAAGAATTCACAAAGCGAACTTAGCACAGTGCGTAGACAACTGGCTGAGTCAGTTGCATCGTCGGTTCGAATCCTACTGAAAGAAGCCTGATGAGGAAATGTGGTGGTTTCTGAAATAGCTATCACTTTTACCATTTTTCAAATTATTGTTCATTTTCCACAATAAGCTTTTCATTAAAAAAAAAAAAACGGCCTCGAGCTCAATAAAAATGGTTGAATTTACCAAAATCGTTAAAAAAATTTACCAAATCCCGTAAAAACTAAGCAACTTATTTAATTAATTTGGGCTTTTCTTATCAAGCTTGGTAAATTGGTTATAGAAATAAAAAATAAGAAAGCAAGAAAAGGCAATCTAAGGCTCAGTTTTGTCGTCAAAAGTAAGGATTTTATAGCCTAACAGTTGCTTAATTTGAAAACTATTACCTACACATTCTTTCAGACTTTCAACATATACTCCTATAATAGTTAGCTGCCCTTTCGCTAGTTTTTTGAATGCATGCATGAAAAAAGTTTGGTGTCATGTTATCCATAATGTGCATATTGGTCTTGTTGAGCAATTGAAGGGACCTAAGATCGCCTCCTAACTTCAAATGGTTTTTATGATCAGAAGAAAACTCGGGCGTCTGAAAATGCGACGACCGCGGATCGGGACCCTGCCAGCCACGGCTCACCACTTTCCCCTGAAATTCAAATGATTTACCAACACATACCCAACTTTTTTGTCATCTCACCCACACACTCAAAAGTGGTCGAAAAAAGTTTCCATAAGTAAGAGCAGCGTAGCTATAAGAATTCGCACTCTTAATAAGAATTATATGCGTTACAGCGAGCAAGTGAAAATCAGGCGAAATTTGACAGCGAATTTCAAACTTGATTCTAGTAGGCTGCGAAGAAAAACATCAATTTCGCGCAAAATTTCGGAGGTAAGAAGCAATTTAATTTGATTAAATGTAATTTTTCTTTTATTAAATACATATATGTATATTTTATGTATCCATAGATAGCCAAGCATCAGCAGGAGACTTAAGCCATCAGAACCTTGAAGGTAAGAAGACTAAAGTTTCCCAATTTAACATAGTTTGGCTGAGTTCCAGGTTGGTATATTGCAAAGCATTAGCCTCTTTTATTTCTAAACTAAATATAACTAATGGAAAAGTGCAATAAGCGCAACCATGTTCAAACGCCGAATTGGAACTTAGTTGGGCAAATTGGTCATATCCATCAGTTATAGTTTAGAAATAAACGAGGCTGATGCTTTGCAATATACCAACTTGGAAGTCAGCCTTTAACCATTGTTAACAGTTTCATTTGATTATAATGTAATTATTTCTTTTAGATTGCCAAACATCAGCAACGACGCCCACAGCACATTCAACGCCATTGGTCGCCAACAACTCTCAACCCTACAACATTCCAGCTATGTACATTGTTCGGTGAGTTTTATTGTTTAAATCGGTCATGCCCAGCGCGGGGCACTTGCATATGGAATTCTGCCAGCGCAGGGAACTTGCTTATAGAGTTATGCCAACGTTGGTTTAAATATTAAGAAACGCGGTTGCTCCAGACGCAACTAAATCCATATGTATGTATGTACTTACTTGTGTTTATATCGTCGGTGATACTGCAAAACTCTGCAGAAATTATTACCTCTGGCACTGATTTGTTACCCTCACCGGAGTGCCAAAAGTTATAATCTATTAAACTCGTGACGAAAATGTATTCCTTTTCTGTAAGGTACGGGTGAGGGATTATTTAATTAAAGTTTGCAGTATCACTGCCGACACGTATATACATATGTAAACAGAAAGTGCTGTGAAAAGTGCAACAGAATGCCAGCTTTGGCTACAACTACATAAATGTGGTCACATGTATGTATATAAACAAAAAATAAAGTATTACTACCTAAATGTACTTATGTAAGTAAAAAGAAGGAAGTGCAATGCAAATACTTATGTACATATGTATGTTAAAAGTGCAACTAGGTACATATGTAAACAGCAATAAGTGTGGTGCAATAAATGGGAAAAGTGCAGTAGAATGTCTGTTTTCCTAAGCGCAACAATATAAAACATCAGTTTCTTTTAATTCCAATTAACAGCAAATTTGCTTAATTTGTGCCAACTGAGTTGAATGTAAATTGTGTAAATTATCATTTCACGGTTGTACACTCAAGAATTGATGCGTTTTTAAAAACAGACATTTTCGGTCAGGAACAATATTTGCATCCGCTGCATTTGCATCAGTTGTTGTAGTTGCATCGACCAAATGCTGGCTGGGTACCTACATTGTATACATATATATGTGTGGAAATAGTTGCAACTGCATAAGTGTGTAGATATGTATGCAGTTAAACAAAAGAAAGTGAAGTGCAAGTACCTTTGTACAAAGCGCAGCTGCAACGTGTGTACATACGTATGTAGGTAAAAAGAGGAAAGTGCAGTGGAAATATGTATATATATATCGTCGCTCGAATAAAGAAACAGTGTAAATGCCAAATACACTTTTATTCGATAATTGCACTATTGGATAGACAATCCTTTAATATATTTGAAAAATGTTTAGTTTTCTTAAATATCTCTTTGGCTCACTAATTTATTCCCGAAAAACCAAATTGTATTTGTATGGTTTGTAATGGTTTATGAAAACTTCCAATTCGTTTTTCTCAAAACTATACTTTTCATGTTACACTATTTCATTATTCCAGCGACGATATGTACATATGTATGTGCAACATACAATTAGCATGTCATGGGGGTGCTATTTTGGACTTAACTTAAAAACAAAATGAGTACTTACATTACTTTCTTTTTGTTTGCTATGTTAATGTAAATACTAAAAAAAAATAAGATTGCAAAAATAATAGATACTCACATACGTTACTTTCTTTTTATTTGCAATGTGCTTGTTATGTATATACTAAAAAAAAATCCAAAAATAATAAATACTACATTTATTTATTTTTCTAACATGATATTTGCTTCCTGAATGTGTTATATAATTTTGTATATTTTAAACTTCCTTACTCTATTTCTGTTCCTTTTTAAAAATATTAATATATTTTTTAAACTTTATTTAAAATGTTTAAATTGGTGTTGGATTAACTTAATTAATTAAGTCTTGTAAATATGAGTGTTTAATATTAGATACATTGTATCGCACATGCATATCTATGTAGTATAATTATCTAAATTGTTATTACCTTTCTATTATTTACCATCACTGATAGCATGTAATTATATGTACCATCACTGATAACATTAGTTGATCATCATTTATTAGTTGCTCTTTATGCTAATTGCTCATACATATGCATCTGCGGATGTCCATATGTTTGTATATACATACTTATGTACATAAGTAAATATTTGCTTGCTTTAAATCTGCGCTCCCGCGCATGTTTAAGAACCGGTTTAGGGTATTTGAGTGGCTGTGATAAGCGCTCTTATCATACTTGTACATACATACATTAGCATAACTGCATTATATTGGAATATGTACCACTAAATCATCCGATCTCTTTACCGTAAGCCATTGTACTTGTTGAGCTAGAGGAAATTTTGTAGGCTGGTTAATTTGTACATCTAAGAATTTTGTCACTCGCATTTTGGTCATCGTAGCAAGCGCTAGCATATAGTTGCTAATATTCGCATTTTGTAATAAACGCCCGCATATCGTTGTTGTCGCATTTCTTTTTATTGCAAGTAATACGGGTCAGTAAAAAGGCTTACTGCCCCCTAAACAATGAGCATGAATTTATCTAAATAAACTAATCTTAATTAAACTATAGTCATCTGCTTTTTGTATAAATAAAATCCATTATTTATGAATTATATTTCATTGGAGAAATAATAATTTCTTACTTTATTTTTCAGATAGAATCTAACTGGTTGCATCCACAACAATAATTTAACCATTTTATTTTAATTTCAGGTTGCTGTACAAAAGACGTCTTGAAGCATCGGCAGCTACATTTAAACAAATATATATATTTTAATACATAAATTATTTATTTTTAGTTATTCAAATTTTTTTAATTTTTCGTTTAGATTGTTTCTATCGGAGAGTCATTGGATGTTGCCCATAGCCATTGGAAAATGCTGCATGGGAAAGATGATAACAAAGATGAAGGGAAAGATGCCTACAAACGTCTCGATTCAGTGGAGGTAGTTGTTTGTTTAATTACTAATGCACTTCAATTTTGCATACTTATAATTGTTTGATTTGTTTGCAGTCATCATAGGAGCAGTAAATGGTGTTCGGTGATTCTGCCAATTTAATATGAAGTGTCCGACAAACGCCAGCAGTTACTTGAAATCAACTTTTTAAAAGATCTATATATAAGTCGTAAAAAACGCAATCAAATTTTGCAAAGTTGTAACGAAACCGATTTTTTGTGAACCAATGTAAATGATTTGAATCTGTTACTATATATCAAAAGAAGGGTAAATCGATTACCTTTCTTTTGATTGTAATATTGTTAAAATCGCTTAAATATTTTATAGAAATTTTGCAACTTTTGTAAACATCTATATGTAAGCAGTGAAAAAGTAAAATTTTGCAAAGTTGTAATATAACTGAATTTTTGTGAACCAATGTAAATGATTTGCAACTGTTAATATATATCAAAAGAAGGGTAAATTGATTACCTTTCTTTTGATTGTAATATTGTTAAAATCGCTTAAATATTTTATAGAAATTTTGCAACTTTTGTAAACATCTATATGTAAGCAGTGAAAAAGTCGTAAAATTTTGCAAAGTTGTAATATAACTGAATTTTTGTGAACCAATGTAAATGATTTGCAACTGTTAATATATATCAAAAGAAGGGTAAATCGATTACCTTTCTTTTGGTTGTAATATTGTTAAAATCGCTTAAATATTGTATAGAAATTTTGCAACTTTTGTAAACATCTATATGTAAGCAGTGAAAAAGTGTCAAATTTTGCAAAGTTGTGATAAAACTGGATTTTTGTGGACCACTATAAATTATTTGCAACTGTTAATATATATCAAAAGAAAGGTAAATCGATTACCTTCTTTTGATTATTATATTGTTAAAATCGCTTAACTGTTTTATAGAAATTTTTCAACTTTTGAAATCATCTATGTGCAAATAAGTAATACTAATAATAAGAAATTAAGCAACCACATATGTATGTAAAAATATATTTATTAATGTTAATTACAATTTTTATTCATAATATTGATTATTAGCTATGTATATTAGGTAATCAATGCATTTTGATAATAAATTTTGCACAATAAAAATCAAAAATTTTTTGGATTTTTTATTTAAAGTTTCTAAGGTTATTTTGAATTCGCTGTGAAGAAAATGCAACCCTGCGCCGGCTGAAAGGGGCATCACACGTACAGGGGGAAACTGGTGAAAATCTGCACACCGCCCATACAAACATTTCCTGGAACTTTATCTGGAATCCTAAAAAAATTGAAGAATTGATTGAAAATTGATTCATAGTTCAAGAAATTTAGCAAACGAAGAAAAATTTAACATTAAAATTTAACGGGCAGGAAAAAATTAATCAATTTGCTTATATTTAAGGAAAAACGGCATCTCTGACCACAACCACTACCTAGAATGATAGAATACAAGATTGCGCCGTCCTGGGCGTTGACATTTGTGTACCACAAGTAAACAAAGAATAGAACGAAAAGAAGAACGAGTTGAAACTGCCAAAGCAGTTCACTTTACAGCGAAAAACGTGTTTTAATTTTACTAAATGTGAAAATATTGCATTTTTCATCTAATCTATTAGAGAACAGTGAACATTTAAGTGCACTCCATTGCTTTGCAATTGAGGCTGCTTCAGCAAACGTTTTAGTGCACTCCATTGCTTTGCAATTAAGGCTGCTGCAGAAAACTGCATCTCTGCGAGATTGATTAATTAACTTGCTAATGGAGGCTGCGTGGAGCAGAAACAAAATCATTGTGAGGAAGTGCTCTTAATATAATAATAGATAAACATTTCGGGAACGGCTTTGCCGTGCCCTATGTACACAAAATGCAGCGATTCGTCCCAGCGCTACACTGGCATCTACGCTTCTTGCAACTTGACGGCTGTCGCAATTTAACACACAGCACTTCATTGTATTAGTTTTTACGCAGTCTTCAACTCAAAAATCACTCACAAATTGCAAATTAACACGATTTAAACTGATTTTTCACTTATAATTCAAATTTCTCTTTCGCTGATTTGTAAACAAAGGTTTATTTACCACTGACGGCGCCACCTTTGTTCGCTGCACCGTGACCACTACGATGCAACAATTGTTTTAGGAATGGTCACTTGTCAAAATTTTGCAACAATCGATGCCTTGATGCATCGGCTATTTATACAGCGTGTGACTGCTTTTACTCAGTTCAAGTATTGCATTCAATTCTGCTCGCTTGTGAAGAGAGGGGGTGAGAAGAAAAGGGACGAGTACACATGCGTCTGTACCGTCAACGCGTTGCAACTTTCTTGCTTTGCTTTTGGAATTTTCATTGTTTCCCATTTAAAGAACCAAAGACTTGAATTCAACAAAAGTGAAGCGTGTAAAAGCAAATAGAAACCACATAAGAGAATGAGTAAGAATTGCTTTCAAGTACTTGAATCACGTAAATCGGGTGTATGGAAAATTTTCGTTGCATCGATGGAAAACATCGATATTTTCGATGCATCGATGCAAACCATCGATATTTACGATGCATCGATGTTTATTCGAAATCCCTAGTTCCTCATTATGTTTTCAACGAATTGGGTTTTTTTCGCACGCAGATGTTTTTAAACAGTTCATTATACATATGTATATAAATCAGTTTTAATAAGTGTGAGATAAAAGCTCCCTAAGTTATCCTGGGAAGGTCGGTATTATGGTAAAAATATAGTAAGTTAGAACCGCTGAGATGCACTTTTGAAATTGTTTACGTTCGCAAGCAATTTAATGGGGAAACTTCGCGAGAGTGCACCACGCTTTGAACAAAATTACTTTTTTGGGGTGGCAAAGGGTCGTACACATCACAAAACTGAAAACCAGACGGCAAGGAAACAGTTTACGAGAAATTTTTTTTTGTTTTTTTTTTTTGAGATTTCAATAAATTAGCTGTGGTGCAGAGACCACATTGCCAGATCAGTCAACAAATGGTTGTCAATGGTAAACAGTCATATGTTTACGGTCAATGGTAGTCAAGTAGTCCGAGTCAAAAACCAAGCAAACATGTAGTTAGATTTAATCGTATATATTAATCTTGATTTGAGAGATATCGTTAAACTTTAATATCAGCTATTTTAAGAAATCTTACGAGCTGAGAAATAATAGATACATCCTTCGTTAACAAAATTTCTTTAATTGTACGAAACGTATTAAAAAAGGCAAAATCGCAGGCTGAGATCTCCTATAATGGACCATTTCCTATATCACCCAAAGTATTACGAATTTTTTAATGAAATTCGCAGGGGATGTTGAGGAGGTGCTCATTGACCGATATCATCAACATTTTGTGTACAACTGCTAATAGTTTTTAAGTTATTCGTTGTTAAAATTTCCCCACTGCTTCACAATTATTTTTTTATAAACACTGCACTAATCACTTTTCTTTTTATTAATACACCATCTTTTCCTCATAAACAAATGGATGCACATCTTTTTTTACTAAATATTTAGCCATTAATGCTTATAAAAGTGTTCTTAAAATATTTTTCTATTCTCAAAGAATCGTAAACACAATTGTTCAGCGATGGCCGCCATGAATGAGGTGCCACATCGTTGAAAATGTTAATAGTTCTTTTTAGCCAAAAATACTTTGTGATACATTACGGGATTGAAGGCTAAAAGGAAAATATTAATTTCACGCCCTTATTTATGCACATATTTAAGAGTTTCTTTTAAATCGGTGATATATATATTAATATAGTTTTTTATTACAAATTTTCGCCGGCGGCGCTTTTTTCTAAAAAATCCAATACTTCCATATATCTTGAAAATTTTTAATAAAAAATCGCGAGATTTGTTATTACAAATTTTCGCCTGCGGCGCTTTTTTCTAAAAAATCCAATACTTACATATATCTTAAAAATTTTTAATAAAAAAAGCGCGCGATTTTTTATTACAAATTTTCCCCTGCGGCGCTTTTTTCTAAAAAACTCAATACCTCCATATATCTTGAAAATTTTCACCGGCGGCCCTTTTTTTTATCAATTCTTCCATATATAGTGAAAATATCCAATAAAAAAGCTATGACATATATGTACATGTCCACTTTATTATTTACGTTTTCATTGATTCCCTTTTCAGTACTTTTTTTTACACATTTTTTGTGATGTGTGGCAGCACCGCAATTTCAGTTCAATCGATGTACAAAGGAAAATGCGAGGTTAAATTGCACTTTTTTTTACAACTTTAACAACGAATTACTTAAAAACTATAAGCCTCCGGAGGGGGGTTTCAGATTTAGAATCAAAAAAAGCCGCTCTAAACCCCCTCATTTTTTTTTCAAAGCCTGGACCATTATTGGAAAATTTTCCCATTTTCGCATTTTCGCATCTAAACGCATTATATTTAGCGCAAAAGAAGACCGAGTGATCAAGGCTTTCTTCAGTATCACACAAAGGACAAATATTCAACAATCAAAATCAAGAGAGTAAGCGAAAATTGGTAATTCTCTAGGGTGGGGTAACAACCCCTAAAAAAGGTGCGGAAAAGTCGGG